CCCCAAACCCCCCAACATCCCCACATTTCAAGTTTTGAATAAAATTAGAAACAATCTTTTTAAAAAGCCATACTTCTCTCTCTTTCTCTTCTTTATTACTTATAAGTATAATGTATTTTCTGAAAAGTGTTTGGTTTCCTGTGGGGAAAAAAAAACACAACTAAAAATGTCAATGAAAATGGAAATGTTTCACAGACAACTTTCCTTTGCTTAAAGAGAAGTTACTTCTAATTGAAAAAATGTGTTCAACTGAAAAGGTTTGTTAGGATGACAGAACTTTTAATCATATTCACCTACAGCTCTCCCCAGAGACCGACATGTCCCGAGATCACCCAGCCCACGTAACCTGGTTCTTTGTGAACGGACAGGAGACAACGGAGGGTCAAGGTTGGGCAGGTCACTTACCGCCGTACAGCACGGTTATAAACATGTCTGGGAATAACCTAAGAAAAAGGCAAGAGAGAGACCCATTGGCAGCTTTCTCACCATTGCACGCTGACCATGAGAAGCAGCCACATCGCTTGGCTAAGCGTCCCTTGCAAATGCCCACGGTTAGGTATTAGTTCCAACCCTGCTTTGCTTGACCCCTAAGATCTTCCCACTCTGCCCTCTGCTAAAACGCCCCACCAAGGTGTTGCTTAGTGGCTCCGCTCTGCCAAGATGCGTCACAAGTGCCATTTGGCACCATCTTCAGGTTTTTGCCACAGTGGGAGGGGAAAAGCTGGAACCACAGCCCAGAGCAGGTGAGGAAAACAACAGATCTCAAAGGGGTGCGTACCTGGAAATGTTCTCCAGCAGGAAGAGTCTCCAGATTCCTTCACATACGACCGAGAAGGCAGCTAAAAGTGAAGCTTAGGGTGCCTGTCCTGGCTGCCAGGCACCAACATGCCTTGTTTCTCCTTCGGATCATGCCACCCGTGGGTCTTGCAAACATTTGCTTAGGCTAGGAACCAGCAAAGTTGAGAAATGTCTTTATGTGGCAGCAGCTGAGCAAATATCAGCCCATTATTCATTCAAAAAACCTAACAGGGCTCTTGGCATCTTCTGTCAGGCACCTGCCTGCATGGGGAGGCAAGGTGTTGGGCTGGCCCCTTGCCAGGATGCTTTGCTTTACAGTATCTCACCTGGGAGGGGACTGAGGATAACTGGGGAGAAACGGAGGGAGGAAGCATGTTGCTTCTAGCCCTGCTCAGAGGAAACGAGGCCTGTTTCACAGCCAGACATCGGTTTGGCTTCATCATAGGCTGGCTTGAAGAATGGAAGTGACAGTTTCTTTTAAAAAAGCAATCAACTTTCAGTTCCAGGATTCGGTTTCCAAGGCAAAGGGTGTGCTCAGCCCCTCTCATTGCAGCCAAAATAACAGTAGGAATGGTGGAGGAGTGCTCTCTGCTGGGAGAGCTCACCGCTACACAAGTCTTGGCCTCTCCCAGGCTGGAAACACACTCCTAATTAACGTGAGCGCACTGGCAGCAGACAGAGGCCACGGCTCCTGGCTGCCCTACTCTCTGGAGGCAGGAGATGCTGCAGAGCTTGGGCTGCAGATGGAGCCTCTGGGAGCAGAAGTTGCTCTGAAGAACTGTTTGCACAAAGGAAAAGTGCACACATCTTGCTGAATGCTCAGCTTCTCCCAGTACACAAGGAAATATGCAGGGCATGAAACACTGGGGATTAGTACTCCTCCTCTGAAACAGTGAACGGAGTCCATTGGCTTCCCTGTCATCTGCAACGCTAGCAAGTGAAGAGAGGTAAAGTGATGGCAAGCAAGCAGCCTTCATATGCCCCATGTCTTTGTACGATGCCTCTAAAGTCAAGCCTGCCACTCGGCAGTACTAGAAGAAGTCTGCTGCTGGAACCTGGACAGCAGTAACAAGGCGCAGAACAACCCAGATGCTCTCCTCCTCATGCTTTAAGTCAGTTTTGGCGCTGGGTGTTTTTCCAGATGTAAATTTTAAGACCTACTTGCTAAACCATGACAAGTAATTCTCCCCTATGTTTAGTGTCCAAAACATTGTGAAAGTCATTATTCCAATGTAAACTGCTTTGAGCTCCATGGAAGAAAAGGGCCAAGTTTTAGGATCAATTAGTAATTTAGAAACAGGCACATTTCAGCACATGAGGGATGTCCCTAGCAGTATCCCACAGATGTCTCGGGAATTTGTGGGCCCACCCTTCCTGGAACTGGCAGTGCCAGTTACTGCTTGAGTGCATGGTATAAACCAGACTGTAGAGGTCCAAAGCAGCTTTTATCCAGGAAGGAAAAATATCCTTTGCAATGCAATGTAGTTGCTTATAATGTACATGAAGGCTCTTCTGGATCTCACCAATGGACAGTGGCATATACAGCTCAATGAACAGGGTTAAAAATCTTCAAGATTGCTTACTTATGAATGTCCTAAAGCAGTGGTTTTCAACCTGTGGTCCACAGACCACAGATTATGTCAAAGGGGTCCACGAAACATAAGTATGATCAACCAAAAGTATATGAATACCCACACTTATAATTCAAAGGGGTCCGCACCTCCATTTGAAATTTCCAAAGGGGTCCACGCTTCCATTTAAAATTGTTTAGGGGTCTGCAAATGAAAAAAGGTTGAAAACCACTGTCCTAAAGCATCCCGTTGGAACTCCAGTATGCAACCATCAGCGTGTATTTGAGCATGTATGACTATGCCCACATACTTGCATATTTAGGGTTTTAAAAATAGTATTCCACAGTGTCTTTGCCTCTGCTTGTAATTACCTGCACATACATGCTCCATAACTCACATCAGGCATGTGTAAGTTTGTATTGGAGTTTGTTTCTCTCCCTGTATGTACTGATATGTCTCTGTATGTTATTACGTGTTGGACTGTCCTATGGATATTAGGTATGCATGTGTGCACAGAGGTGTTGTTCACTGCAGCAATGACTGAACTTGTTTGGTTGGATGCTTTTAGCTGGAAGGGATGCAGGAATTATGCAGAAGACAAGCTGGCGGCCACTGTAGTCTGCTGAAGATGAAACAGTTCAGATTCTGTGTCACTAATCCGCTGAGCAAGGCAGCTCCTTCTAATTTCCAGCAACTGGGTCTGGTCTCTCTTTGTGGCCCAGGCTTCCAGCAGCCTTGTGTAGTGCTGTGTTGTATCCCCAGGGGTGTCCCATGCCTTCTGCTGTAAAACAAATGAATGGCACAAACTCAATGACTTAGCCCCAGTGAGCAGCTACATCCACGCTCTAGCAGCCCTAGCCTAGTGCATAAGCCACAGGACTGGGCACAAAGGGAGTCGGCTTCTAGTCCCAGTTCTGCCACTGACCCTCTAGGATTTTGAGCATGAAACAAACCGTCAGTCACTCGTTTGTAAGGCAAGGGTAATGATACACACTTTTACAATGCACACTACAATGTAGGGTGCCCTCACCACGCAATGGCTATTTTCCTCCATTCGCAGGGAACATATCTTATCACCGCACTGATTTTTTTGTTCCCTAATTTCTAAAATCTAGGTGATGCCTATTAACGACTCGCCAGCACCTCAAGGAAAAATCTTCTACTTAGAAACCATTCCCCTAATCTGCCTATTGCCATTTATTACTGTGCAATATTCACATATTTGTATGAAAAAGAATGGGGCTGCCTAATCTGCTGTTTAATTCCCACCCAAAGTCATAAATCTTGGTTTTTTCAGTCTGTCTCCACAGCAGTTGGTTGTGATGAAACAACAGAAAGCTGTCACAAATGAGTTCTTAGGAAACAGAAATGCCGGGTTCACGCAAATACCTGGTGCAACAAAGCATTAAGGAAATGTAAGACAGAAGTGGGACAGGTTCATAATGGCATAGCTTCTCAAAATGTTCTAGAGGGCTCTTGACAGCTGCGAACTCTGTTGTTCCATGTAGGGTTTAGGTTGTGATTAATTAAACACTCATCACTTTTATAGTGACAGGGCAGATTACAAAAGCTTCCTCCATATCGTAATGAACCGGGCCTGACTGCCACCTTGAAGTAGATTATCCCCCCATGTGATAGACAGGTCTGAAACCGAGTAACACAAAATGTATGTGGTTTGTTCAGGACATGCGTGGAACAGGAACAAGAACAGAACCGGGACTAGAAGTGAAGCATCCTGACTGCCGGTTCCCTTCTCCAACCCCTAGATTATATGTCCTCCATGTTCTGGGCACTGCTGATTTGATGGAGAAACAAGCAGCAGTAGGGTTAAAGTGCTGCCATAGCCGTGATGGTCCAGGAAATGCATGAGAGGATGGGGTTGTTGTGATCTCTTTTATTGAACCAACTGTATAGTTGGGAGAGACGTCTGCCAAGCAGGAGTCATGTGAGCCTAGGAAGTGCTTGGCTTCTGATGCTGGCTATAAAGTTCAAAGAACTGGGTCTCCTCTGTGTGCTTCAGAAGAGATCTGGCTTGGCTGGATGAGTCTGCAAATGGCTGACTTGCATTTGCCGTCTCTACTCTGTGGATAGACTCCTGGCATGCACCATGATACAATGGCATTTATATCATCATATAATGTTACATGGCAGGGACACATCCCTATATGCAAATTACACAATATAAGACTTATCCTGGAGGGAAAAAAAAAACTTCAACGGTTGTCAGACGAAATGAACTCCTGATACTGGAGCTGGTGGGTCTGCAAGGTTGGGTATAACTGGCTCAGGTCAGTCCATCTTCCCTGGCTTACAATGTTCACCTCGCCTCACCTTTTGCAGTGCAGGAGGCTGAATCACAAGGGCCATCACTCCATTTTTCATGCAGGCTTCTTTGAGGTTTGGCCAATAGCCCAGTGGAAAACAAGATGGTTCATACCGTAAGCAACTCCTCGTGGGCTCTGAGCTCCTGGTCCAGTAGTTCCCCCTCCTTCTGGCTTGCCAAAGTCTGCACTGTAAGCTGTAAAAACTCCTCATTCAGCTCATCCAACATGTCCTCCAGCTTTGCAACCTGCAACTGAACCCAGTCTAATGAGGCCTTTCAGTCAAAGAGCCCAACAATGAGGAGCCAGGTCAGATAACACTCAGCAGAACTGACCCTGGATCCTTCTCATGTGGCTTGGGGGAAACAGGCAGCTCCTGGATGCAGAGGTAGAAGAAAACACAACCAAGGAGTACCAGCTGTTGAAGAGCTCACAGGACCAAGTGTAAATGCAGCCTTTCTTGGCAGCAGTCAATGCTGGGGAAAGTTATGTGTGCTAACTGTGTGCAAGGTGTTGGGTGCTATTGTAACATCAAGATGCAACAGCATCAGAGCAATGGCAGCGAGTGAATGCCCCCGGGACTTGGACGCTCTGCAGTGACCTCCTGTTCTCTTCCAACAGGTGAGCCACCAGTCAGAGGGGCTGTCATAGCGAGAGGGGCAATGGTTTTCAAAAATAACTAGAGATTTTGGGTGCCCAGCCTGAGACAGTTTGAAGGGCCCTTATCTCTACAGGGGGCACGCTCAGCACTTCCTGAAATTCAGAACCCTTTAAGGTATCTGAAATCAGGCACCTCAAATTTGAGACCTGCCAACATTCAGTATGGAGACAGGAGGAAAAAGGAAATATAAAAGGCTTCTTAAATATTCTTCTTATATAATATAATATAATATAATATAATATAATATAATATAATATAATATAATATAATATCAGCTTCTTAAATATACATTGCTCTGAATTTTCCCTCCCTTCTGCTGGATTACTCAGAAGTTGTTCCATTGAAATGAATGGAGTAACACGTAGGAAGAACTGATATGAACCAAACAAGATTTGACCGACCGACTGACTTACCTGAACATGAAGGGAATCGGCATTCTTCTTGCCTGCGTTTTCAGACCGTTTCCCGGCTTCTTCTCTCCCCGAATTTTCAACAGAATCCAGGATCTCTGCCTGCAGCTGGAAGCATTGGTAATGTTGCAACCTAGACACACCAGACAAGAGATAATCACACTGGGCCTTTCCAAAATGAACCTCCTTTGCTCACAGCCCAGACTCAACAAGAGCCTATGGCTTAGGCCCTTCCTTCCCCTGCAGTGAAAAGGCAGAGGGATGAGGAGGAGGAGGAGGGGGAAGAGAAGAGAGTGAACTGATACACTTGCTATTGCACCCCACACCTGGATATTAAGGTTTCTAACTGGAGCTTCAAACACATTTGGAGAATTTCTCCAATTTGATCGGAGCCACTGTTCAGCACTGAATGCAGCACGGAAGGAGACACTTAGGACCAGCTCTAGAAGTTTAATTGTAAAAGGAGCTCATCTCCAGATTAGAGCTGGTAAAAAATATCCAGCCAGCTGTTTTATTATTAACAGAAAATGGGTCTTCCAAGAAAATATCTTTTAAAGGGAAAGAAACAAAACAATTTTCAGAGGGAAGAGCTATGCTTTTGGAGAAATATTGAGATAGCTGTTATAAACAAAATGTTTTTTAGTTTTTAACCTGATTTTTTTTTTTGTACAGAACTAAACCTGAGTTTATTTCTGTCATTTTCTTCCAGAGAGGGAGTCAGTTATTGATCAGCTTTGGTCTACATACACATCTCTGATTTTTTTTTCCAACCATAATTGGGTGCTAGATGTTATACAAGGCTAAAGAAGAGGACCAATAATAGTCCTTGATGACTTAGGCTAAATTCCTGGGCACTCAAAAACTGGGGACCGGATTGGGGATCCTGTATAAATAAGGGACATATTCTTCTTTCAAATATTTTGGGTGAGGAAAACTCCCAACAAGTTCTATGACAATTTGAGCCCATGTTTATGAACATATAGCTTTAGTAGAGCAGGATCTGACTATATTATAGATGATTTTCTCCAGGATAAAATCACAGTGATTAACAAACCTATTTGATATCTAGAGTGCTCCCACTCCTTCCTCTCTGGGGGTGCATTTTAGTTATTTTGGGTATCTTTTACAGCTCTGGTCCGTCTTAGGATCCCATGATAGTTGAACATTTATACAGCGTAAGGGGAGAAACCAGAACCAGGCAACATGAATGCATCGCTTTGAGACCTAACTAATGGAAACGTTGTCCTGTGATGTAGCCTAAATTCTCCTTAACTCATTTTCATCTGAACACTCCTTTGACTTCTTCCTATCATCTTTCTCCTCCTGCCTAGGCATTTGTCAGATTATTCTCTAGTTGTACTGCACACATCTACCACAACCTACTAGTTGTTCTTTAATAAATCACTCCAGAAATCCTAGAATATTGTCAGTACAGAGAACATGTGTTGGCACAGTGATGGAGAAGGAATGGCTGCATCCTTCAACTTCCTTGCAATCATCTTGATTTAACAATGGTTTTAATATGCTGCTTTACAAGTAGCCTGAGATTAAAACTCACTTCTCACTGGGAAAGAAGCAAGTGGTATTAGCCTAGTCTTTTAGAAATGGGGAAACTGAGGCACAGGACAGGATAAGCGAGTTGCCTGAGAATGAGAGCCCTACACTGTCCAGATGACACAACTGCTCCCGTCTCACTGCAAAGCTGTTTCTGGATCCTTTCCAGAGCGGAGCCAGGAGCTGAGCTGGAACGCAGTATCCACGGCTTAGGTCCGTGCCCAAAAGCAACTTGGAAAGAAGCAGCAAAGTTATGTAACACAAGAGAGGGGAATGACATGCTCATTATCTAGTTAGTCAGAACCTCATTATAGGACTATATAGCAATTGCATGACATAATTGCACAGGGACCAATCTGTCCCTGCCCAGTACCTCTCATGTTGGGATTTCTCATGGCAGCAGGGATCTGGTGACATTTGAACCCTCAGCAGTTCTTCAAATATTGTCCGGGAGTCTAAAAGAGTGGATGAGTTATCTTCTATAGGATCCTAAAGCAGGCACCAAAAGAAAGAAAGAGTCAAGTTCCAAGTCTCTTGTCCAGAGAGGCTGAACACTTGCGGCTCCTACTGTTTTCAGATGGAGATGTGGGATCCCCCCCACTAGAGACAGAAGAAACAAGGCCTGCCCTACAGGATGCATTAAAAAAAACCCCATGAACCAGCTGTTTCAGTTCACCGGGGTTCATGTTTCATTTTGGTGCATTAATATGTGACACCGAGCAAACCGCAAAGTGCTCATAGCACGTAAGCACACTAGAATGTCACAACCTCTGTGCAGAGCTGCAAGGCAACCCCAGGTCTACTCAGGAGGTTTCCCAGTGCATCCAAAAAATCTGGCTGACCCAGGAAAGCTGTGGGTGGTTTGGTGGTTCACTAAGCATGTTTAATAGGGCCTTTGTCCAGGGCTGCTAATGGAAGTCACGTCATCTCATTTACCTTCTCTGCCGCTCCCCAGGAACTCTGGAAAAAGGCATTGGCTAGAGCCATGATGGCTCTGTTGAGCTCCCTCTGAAAGCAAGAACCAGCAGCTGCAGCTGAGGTAGATCCTGAAGCAAGGCAAGCACAGACGGTAACGTGCCATTCAGCTTTCCCTATCACAGTGCTCCTAATCTCACAGTGCTACCTCCTCAGCCATTAATTTGCCAGACCACTTCCCTAAGTGCTCCTGAAGCAGATGAAAAAGCACCAGAGAGGACAAAACTAACCAAAACCAATGCTTCTCTTTTAACAATAGTAGACCACAGTGACTGTCACCAGTCAGGGTGAGCTCAGGGATGTCTCCCCAGACACTCAACTGGTTTTACAATCGGGTTAGCTGAACCAGGTTTAAAAATGATATAAATTTTTGCCCCACAAAACAAGCCAACAGTGTTAAAGGGGCTTTATGCAGTTAGCCAGAGGACAGTGGACCTGATTAGACAGTAGTAACTGGGAACAGTGATAGCTGCTTTGACCTTCCTGCAGCCAATTAGAAAGAGATTAAATATGCACATAAAGAGAAAACATCTAATTATGTGCATAAATAAATATACAAAACCCACGCAACTCATTGCAGAGAAAGAATTACACATTAAGAGCATGCACATGGATCTGTTAGTGTAGAATAGCTGTCCAGTTCATACCCTAGCCAGCCATGCAGGTCATCTAGTGATATTAAAGTGCTCCTGTGTAGTCAAGTCCTGAAATGCAAGCACGTCTGAGGAAGGAGGTAGCCAACAAATCGCAAACATGCTATAATGTATGAGATAAGAATTATCTAGGAAAGGCATTGGGACAGACCATACATTTACAAAAGTCCCAAGATTTCTAGGGTCTGATTTTATGCTCATAAAGGAGAGCTGGGCCGGAGATCTGGGATTTCAAGGTCTCAGACTCCTTTGCAAGGACAAGCTCCGTGTCAGTCAGACAGGACAAAGGGCTAAGATGAGTTTCATGGTATTTGAATCTAGTCATTCAAATGACCGAATCCCATTCCAGACATTTCAAACCTGAAGCCCAAAGTTTGATATATCTCTGTGTGGCAGAGGTTGATTATAGGGAATGGCCAACTTGGATTGTTGTGCATCCCTAAAATTAATCCAAGTTACCAATCTGAGGTGCTGAAAGACACGGGGAAAAAAACCCCAAGCCCCCATGCTTTACTGGAAGAAGTGGAGCGTTAGTTCGACCCAGCTCTGCAGTGCAAAGATTGGGCACTTCAGCAGGTTTTTGTGGAACTTTTTTCTAATAGCTGATTCAATCAGCTATTAGATAAAAGCACCAAGAAAGCCTCGCTAAAGTGCCCAATCTATACAGATGTTGGGCGAGCCAGGTCCAACTAACGTGATGCCTCTTCTGGGTATGCGCCGGGCTTGGCGTGGGAACATGCTGAGTTTAAAGTAAAGCACCCTTTTTTTCCTCACCCCCACTTCTGCAAGCAGCTGGATGTTCAGCATCCTGCCCATTCACCTGGGATATTCATGCTACTCTTGCCTCCCCTAGATATGTATGGCCACCCACAATATTCCCGACTTTTCTCCGCAGCGGAGATGGTAAAATGAGAGGATTAAATTTAATGAGCAAAGGGAAAGACTGAGGCTGGCAATGTTCTAGGAGCAACACAGTTCCGAGCCGTAGCTCACCAGCAGTACAGAGCTAAAGCAAAAATGTATCGGCCTTACTGGCAGAAACGGCTCTGAAGTGTCACCAGATTCCAGAGCTCTGCAGTGTAATGGCCTGACATTTCCTCATTGAGTGCTTTGCTTAGTAATTATACGGTAAGTGAATGTGTTTTCCTCTTGTGAGGTAATGACCCACTGTGAAACCCAAGCATGCTTTCTGCGAGGATATTCATGATGATACTTGAGAGTTTCAGTAATCAAAAAAATGCAGACGCCTTCAAATGCTGGACCCATGCATACTCACCACCTGTGCCATTTGCAATGAGGTGGTAAATAATAGTATAAAGCCAGCTAGAGAGGAATCATTAAGGCAAGGAAAATGTCCTATTTATCCCCGGCTGAGTCACAGACAGAGCGCGAATATCCAACATGCTCCCCACCTAGAACAGATTCTAATGGTGCCTGGCAGTCGTACCTGTTTTGATCCTTGCCAGGGCATTCAGCAGGGTGGCAATAAATGCCCCCACATTCTCCAGCTCTGCTGGATGTAGGTACAGAAGTCTGTTGACGGCATCATAGTAAAAGGCTCCAGGGCTCTGAAAATCCTCTTGAGTCCCTGCCAGATCTTGGTCTGGGATTGCCTGAGCCAACATGAGCACCAGCGCTGGGTGGAAGCAGGCCTTGCTTAGCAGACGAACCATGGCACAGCCAAAACGGTATACCACAAATTGCCGAGGAGACAAGCTGGCTAGATCCATGGGGACTAGGGCATTCCCAGTGAGTCCTGGAGAGCAGTCACGCAACCCTGCCTCTGGAAAGGAGAAGACACAAGAGCCCAGGTGAGCAACTCAGCATCATTCCCATCTTGGAGAATGTCCTCTTCCTTGTGTCGGCCAATACCATTCCCTGCTCCCTGCGGATAGTTTGGTCAGTCTGTATGTAAGGGACAAATCTACCCTGTAATAGCCACTCATCTCCACATATACTGTGAACAAAGCCTGTAATCCCAGACTCCTATTCTCTCTGCCCAGCCCTGGAGGTTTGCATTCTGGACCTCAAAGGGTGGAGGCAGCTGGGATAGGAGCGCTCCTTTACCTGGAGCAGGAGGAGGACTAGGACGCTGTTCCAGCTGCTGTTGCATCTCCAAAGCCTGCTTGATCTCCTGCAGGGTCTTGGCGAGGGGGGAAGTTGCCATCAGGCACTCCACTTCCAGCTCAGTGAGACAGGCCAGCGTGGCACTCCCAGGCTGCAGGCCTAACCCTGGTGAACATGGATAACACGGTACATGAGACCCAGAGGAAGGAGGCAGTTTTCACTTGGATAGCTGGGGTGGTAGTCAATGACTGCAGAATATGTTGCCCCAAATGAACTGTGCTGCACAAAAGCAATACCTCCCCTGAGCCCTAGAGGCTGGAGAACCTGCCTGGTTCTCTTGTGGCTAACAGCAAAGTAGTGGCCAGCAGTTGCTGAGTACCCAGCTGCACAATGACTAGCAAAGCTAATGCTTTGCAGTCCCCCAATTGCAATGTCAGGGATGCAAAAATCCCTGGCTGCAGGGTCTTCCTCAGACTGACCCACAAAGGGAGCTTGCTGGGGAGTGTTCGCTCATTGTCCTCCTTCCAAAAAGACCTATATGTTAATATGGCACATCCTAAAATATCAAAGGACCTTTAAAACATAAAAATTTGGCCGCTTATTCACTCCACTCCTACATTTTAAGGCAACTGTGTTCACCAAGAATGCCTCCACAAAACCTCCTGTCATGATCACTGAAGGGTTACTGTGTCCACAGCTGAAGCACTGCTCTTACCTTGTTCCTCATAGCCAGGAAGGCCAGCAAAGGCACCTTTCCTACTGGAGAGACCATGCTGTAGGGACAGAGCAGGGTCCTGCAGGACAAACAAGGCTGTGGTGTCACAGAAATGGAGAGAGACAAGGCAATTGGAAATAATAGAGACAGACCTAGAAAAAGCACCTGGCCCGCACCTGTCCTTGCTCTGTTTCTGCTTTCCCTTGACTGGCCATCCTGTCCTGTCCCAGGAGCTGCTGTGTCACCTCCATCTTCACAGCCACGTTCCCACAATGGACTTTACCAAGGAGGATTTTCAGTGCTTTCATTAACTCCATTGCCTCTCGCCACTCGGCACCTACTTGATTCAAGCAGCCGAATCAGGCACAGAATAACCATGAATTTATCAATGAAAGTGCCAGGCATTCATACAGCTCCATTCATTTCTTTGAAAAAGCACTTTGAAAACTTTATGTGAGGCTCATGCCACCACCACAAACCAGCAGCTAATTCCAGGGTGCAACATGCCCTTAGTGGAACAGCTTAAGCTAGAAAGCTAGTAATGCTGGTATCAAAACTTGGTGGAGAATTTGAAGAAGCTGGGCAGCATTAACAGAGCTGGGGTTCGGTGGAAACAGGGACGGTTACTAACAACCTTATTAGATCTTTACCTTCACATTGCATTGGAAAGGAACCTCTGCAAACTGCTTAGTTGCAGCCAGGACTTGACCTTTAGGAAGCCCAACCACTGTGGGTGAGCAGGGTATGTGGTTGGTGGCAGTGCCACCCCCAGCTCACCTCACCTGCAGCACAGAGTTCAGCAGAAATTAAATTTAATGGGCAGGTAAATCTAATGGGCTCTCCAGAGCTCTGAGAAGGTTATGGGAAATTACAATCTACCACAAGCCACCCCAGAGAATTTAACAGGGAACTACAACCTGCACCAGGATGCCAGAGGGTGGATCCAATACAGCTTAGGCAGAGACTGATCATCCTCTGTTGAAACACCTTAGGTTGACTGTAATGTCTATGGAGCCCATTTGCATTTCTGAAAGGCTTGGTGGATTCCTCCCACACGGGCCTGATAAACTTGATGCTCAGTGATATGGAAAGGTGTAATGCTCTTCTCTTTGCTGCCCTGACTCAAGAACCTCCTAGCCATCCTACTGATGCCCCATCCAGGCCCTAACACACCCTCCCCGCTGGCGCTGCCTTCTGGTTCCCTCACCTGCATAGTCCACTGCTTGAACATCATTGCCAGTGGGTTCATTGCACTTCCGAGTACCTGTGGCTCCCTGAGTGGTGCTTTGGGTCTTATCCACAGGGACCCTTTGCTTGGTGAGGACTTTCAGCCCTTCGGAGTTCAGAGCCTGTGCCATATCCTAGTTACAGAGAACAGCACCATCATGCTTTGCCACTCCCAAAGTCACCCCTCCTTTTCCTCGGCCTCTTCAACCAAACACACAGACCCCAGCAGCTAAATTCCCCCTCCATGCATGGGTCTTGCCCTGGAAACACAGGGAGGCATTTGGCCCTAGATGATGCGCCTGCCTAAGGACACTGAAGAATCCGGGTGCACTTTAGGAGAACAGTCAAAGAGAAGCGAGGACCACCAACAGCAGGATGCAGCACTGAGCAGGTTTCCCCAAAGCACACGGAGAAGCCAGGGAGCAGTTCAAGGCAGCGCTGTGCCTAAATGGTCCAAAAGGGCACTCGTACAGCATGTGCACTGCAGCCCTTAGGGCAATGGCTACCGGACTCTCTCCCTCCTGCAGCAGATGGGTGTACAGTGGATGTGGGATCAGTGGAGGCAGATGGACCCAGGATAGTTTTAACCCAGCTTGCTTAGGGTACAGTTACAGAGGAACTGCAGTGGCACAGCAGTCAATGAAGGCTGGCAACCCCAGTGCATACCCAGACTCCCCAGGAGGCTCCTCCTCGGGTTGCTAGCCTGGGCTGAAGCCCAAGCTGCTGTGCTAGCACTGCTATTTGTAACCTAAAGCTAGACTGGGCTTGGCCGTCTGTGCTACAATCATGTCTACATGGACGGGGAAGAGCGAGGAGCCAGGCTGTGTGGGTAAAGGCAGCAAGCACCAGGTACTAAGAGAAGTGACTGTGAAGAGTGCAGTGGGCATTCAGAGCAAGATGAACTTCCAGGCACTGAGATTCCTGGGCAGCTGAACTCAGAAATAATGCCTGAACACTGCAGTGCTGGACGAGAGCCAGAGAAAGGTACACACAAAGGCTCAGCACAACTAAGACGGGGAGCAGAAGTGGTCCAGATAAATGCAGTGTCTGGACACTGGGGGAGAGAGCCGAAGCTCATCCATTCTGGATTCTGTATCCATTAGCACCTTGATCTCCACCAGGACGTGGACAGGTATTCAGTGCCACATGATGAATTGCTGCTGGTCTGCTTCTGCAAAGAAAGGGGGCAGCTGCATGCTGCATCCACTGGTGCAGCCTCAAGAGAATAGGCTGCTACAGAAAGGCAACAAAGGCCCTGCTAACCATAGTGAGATGTACGTGGAAGCAGGGAATCTCCTGCTGCAGCATGTTTCTAGTTACTTCTGCCATCCAGGAGCCAGGAACAAGAACTACCCTAAGTAAATCCTCACCCCAGAAGAACTGCCTGTGCTACAACTTCTGTAGGTCCACGACTCTCTCCTTTCATCTCCCTGGAATACTGACCGCCAGATCCTGGATCCTCTGGCTGATCCCCCTGTAAAAGGCCATCACCTCCGTTCTGTGTTTGGTCAACTGAGATGCCAGGTGCAGGTTCTGGTCCTCCAGCTTATCATACAGGGTGCGGACACTGAAATCCTCCAGGTTTCTCAGGGCACGCTGCTCTCCTGAAACACAAGACACCTTTCATTTTCCACAGCTGAGCACAAGATCCAAGATGATTTCTTTGCTGGAATCCTCTCCTGAACTGCCAAGTAGCCATAATCTCAAGACGCTTAGCACGGCACCCGGCAGCTCAGCTGGCTTCACAGAATGCAAGGGATAGTAATGGGAGGAGAAAAAGTCAACTCCCAGGCTAGAAGCAGGGAGGCAGGGATACAGAGGGTTGTGAATGGAAGGACGGCTAAACACATATCTGTGAGTGTGAAATGAGAGTGTGACAGCACTGCACAGACTGAAGCCCATTGGGAGCAGCTCCTGTGAGCTTTCCCCAACCCTACAATAAGTTGAAAAAACTGAAGCCCAGCCTCAAAGGGCAAATGGAAGGAAAGCTACAGCTTCCATGTAACTCAGCTGTGGCCTTCCTGCTGGCCCTTAAAACTACTCACATCCCTTGCACATGCTTTACCTTCCCCAGCCCTGCCCCAGGGACTGAAGATGGCAGCCTTTGCAAAATGTTTTGAGACTGAATACAAAGTACTGTTTGGTTTTTGGTGTTAGCGTGGAGTTTGTGCACTCTGCATAGCAGCAGCTTTTGCTTGTGATGACATTGCAATGCCAGGGCACTTTCTAAATGGGGGCACTTCAAAAATATTTTATACTTATTTGTCTCAGAGATGCAAGGGACTAGGATGGCAGTGGAAACAGCAACACCATCCTGTGCTTCAGAACAGGGGTAGTAAAAGGGAAGTCACGTTGCTCTGCCAGGATTTCTGGAAGTTCAGAAACTCCTCCTAAGACAGCAAATTTCTCTCTGACTGTTCTTTGCTGCACAGCCCTAACTGGCTTTTCCCTACAACATTGGTTCTCGACCTTGTAAGACTCAAGGCCCCCCATCAGAAAATGCCAGCTTTAAGCTTTCAACCATTTTTCGACTTATGGAAAAATAATAGAACTATTCTTGCATTGCAAAGAATTCAGAAATACCACAGCAGTTCAGCACGGGTTTTGTCACTGTGGATTCCCATCTGAAATCTGTGGCTTCATCCTGTGAATCACGTGTAGGTGTTTGCACACCTAACAGTGTTAATACTGTGCAGTACCCTGTGGCACCTTTAAAGAGATCTTGTGGCACCTTGGGGAACTGTGGCACTCTGGCTGAGAATCACTGCCGCCAGCCTTTCTGGTTTTTAGTTATATAGTATAACCTCATAAATCTGGATATCAAAAATCTGGAATTACCAAAAATCTGTCACTTTTTAAAACTTTTTAAAACTCCATCAGGGAGTAGCGGTGGCCATTCCTGGGGCAGAAGAGGGGGAAGCTTGCACGCGGCAGCTGCCGCTGCCATCCGCCACTCCATGCTGCCGCTCCACATGTGGCCGCTGCTCTGGGACCAGCCACTGCTATTCCTCTTCTCCCTCCCCGACTGCTGCTCCGGTTTCAAAAATCACGAATTTTCACATTTCCAGCAGGTGCTCGGTCCCGAGCATGCCCGATTCATGAGGTTATACTGTCGTTTCTTTGTCAGCACAGCAATTCCCAGCATCAATGGCTGGTGCCATCTTCTGGGCTCCAGACTTACTGTATCTCATCTTGTAAATCTCAAGACAGGGTCACCTGTAAAATGGGAGGACACGCACTAGATGTTGGACACCTGGAAAATGGACAAACCCAAGCAGCAAAACACAGGGCCTTAATTTTCCAGAAATGCAACTTAACTTTCTTCTTCCTCTGACACCCCTCAGAGCCTGACCACTCTGCTCATGACCAGCCAGGGTGACCGTTTCATACCCATTATACAGCTGGAAGGACTTTGTCCCCTACTGGGAGGGTGTGTGAATGGAAGGCTGAGCTTAAAATAGGTGCGTGTGTCTGAGTGTGTCTGCATGGCAGCCTGAGTGAGTGACTCCAAATGTGTGTGTGAGCTCTGAGGCTGAGGATCCTTGAATGCCATAAGGGCGCAGAATAAGAGCTAGAAGAGAAGTGGGAGTGAGTGTGAATGAATCAAAAGGAGGGGCACAGCCACTTTACCTGCACCGTAAATAATTGCTTTCTCTCCAGTATCAGCTCCTTCTCCAGAGCCGTGGGGGCCAAGAGCTTCATAAAACTGAAGGCTGGGGGGAGAGAAAGAGAGTGAAGCATATCCATGGCTACAGCATCCCTCTCTGCACCCACCACAGGGCTAGTGCTGGCTCCCAGCAGCAGCCACACTGTTGCCAGCCCTGGTCAGACATGGGGACAAGTGTTTTTCTTGCAGCTTCTGAAGGGAGACGCAGGAGACAGACTCAGGCAAGAGTGAGGCAATGGTGCCAGGCAGGGAGCTGTGGTAGAGATGCTCATGGGGACTGGAGAGCAACAGAGGTACCCACCACTCTATGGGAAAGCAGAGAAGCTTCTCCTCTGTGTAGCTGGTATCTCATCATACCACTATAGTGGACAGGAGCCCAGTACCAAGGGGCAGCAATAGGAAACCCACATTCCCCATTGCTCTTGCCCTGTATCCACAGGCCTCTAAATCTGCATGCTCTGGAGTAAGTGGAGTGCCAACACACGGGGGGCTTACCTGTCTTTAATGAGGACATACTCCGGAGGGATGTGTGGCTCACCCAGGCTCCTCCATCGTGGCTTCCAGCTCTTCATGGGGCTGGGGTTGGAGATGGGGGGCCTCAGCACAATTGCCAGGGTCAGCAGCATGAGGATCAAGAAGCCCAGGACAAAGAGCACTGCTGAAGAGGCCATGAGACAGTGGGATGTAAGAGGTGGAGGAGAAAGCTGTGTGATTCTGAGTGCACCCATAGGACCTACGATGCACGCATGGGATAAGTTTCCTTTTTGTGTAATAGGTCACTGGGATAGCCTTGGTGTGAAACTGGCCCTGCACTTCACAGGAGGGAAGGCCTAAAGGCTCCTGCAGCTGGAATCAGCAGCACCCCAGAGCCTGCAGCCATCTGTCCTGATGCTCTCAGCACCTATGGTCGGAGGATGGTCACAATGTCCAGCATGCAGGATATGGGTGGATGTTGGCAATCACCACTGGATTGCACAAAGCATTTGCCCCCTCCATGGCCTGATCAGAAGGACTTGTAGAGACTGTCATCATCTTGGCTGAGCACTCTCCTTCCTCCACAGGCTCTCAATGCCCCACAGCATGGGGGGGCATTAAGTCACCTGCATCTCCACTGATCAGGCCTTTGCCAAATGTCCCTGTGAGCCCAGCATTGTGTGGAGGAGGTAGAGCTCTTTGGCACTGGCATCGGAGGGCCCTGGAAGCTGGCGCACACACTTGCTGGTTCATTTATATTTCTGTGCTCCCTCCCTTTCTGCCCCTTCTCACTGAGGGGAGACTGAGCCAGGTGTCTACCATAGGTACAGATGTGCTCCTAGGATTAGATCTTGCCTACCTGCCTGCTTGAATCGTCTACAGGATGTGCTTTACGAGACAGTCCCACTCCTCCAGCCTCCCACAGAAATGCTGACATTTGCAACTGGTGCTAAGGGGAGCAAAGCCCTCAATTAACTGCATTCCTTGCAGGGCAGGGAGAAAAGGCAGCCTTTTAATACCTGCCTCTGAGCAGTTTCTGGCGAGGGAGAGCATGAACCCTTGGGAGGCTCAACCCCAGGAGCAATTAGAACAGGGAAACGCCAGTGGCTTGATGCTATTTCCAGAGAGGAAAGCTGGTTCAAACATGATCTACCACAATAGGAGCCAGTCTCTTTGGCAGACATGCCCCAAATTAGCTCAACAGTGCCACTCCAATCTCCTTCCTCTGCCTGATCTGCTGCTTTCCTTTCTGTTCCCCACTCTGTGCTCCCTATCTGATCTGCTGCTCTGCTTTCCGCTTCCTGCCCTATGCTCCCTGCCTAATCTCCTGCTCTGCTTTGTGCCTCCTGCCCTATTTGCCACTGTGTTTCCTGTCCCCACCCTGATCAGCTATGTGCCACACATGGATCAGCTATGTGCCACACATGGAGGCTGCAGGGTGGCTACCCCTGCTCTACCAGGTGCAGAGACTGACTTATAGGCTCAAGAATCCAGGTGCTACAGGGCTTGGTAGTGAATGAGGGAGCAACACCTTAAATTAAAAAATAAAAGCAGGCCCCCCTTCATCAGCAGGTACTTATCAATGGAGAGCTATGGAGACTGTGGTTCTTTATATCCCTAGCACAGAGACTATGGCTCTTTATATCCCTGGCATGAGCTCTTCCTCATTGCCAATGTCCCATAGGACCCAGCTGCCTTCATTTCTGCTTCTCCTACAGCTCTAGCCTGCTGGAAGCCTGCAGAGCGCAGGTCACAAGCTTTATTCACCTCACAATGGGTTTGTGTATCTGCAGGACAAAGACAGATGTTCAGTCTAAATGCCAACAGCTGGCCTAGCATGAACATACTGGGCTAGCCAAATTAATGCCTGCAACAAGCAGATTAAGAACGGTGTTATAGCAAAGATCATGTTGGTCCTTTAGTGATAAGGCCTATAAGGTCATTCTTCCTGGTTAACTGAAAGACAACCTGATGAAAAACAACATGCATCAACAGGAGCTCATTCCTCCAAAGGAGGCCATTAATAAGATCCTTTAATTGAAGGTATCAGTGGACCTTGGCTGCGGTACCTGTGACAGCTGCCCAGTTGGGCGCTAGATTTAGTTTCCGGGGCTTCAGGATCCCATGCCTGGCCAGCTGGTATGGAGACGAGGGCTGAAAGGAGGAATCCTTAGGGTCACAGCCCATGTTCTCCTCATTCACAGTCACAATCAAGGTACGGTCCTGGATGGTGCTGTCCCTGAAAACGTATCTCCCAGGATCTGGGAAAACGTGGGCAAACCTGAAGGAGAGGGTGAAGTCATACACATAGGTCCAGCTGCCCTCTTGTGTTCAGCTTCACACAGCTACAGCCACCAGTCTGCTCCAGCTGGGAAGTGAAATGCCTTATCTGGAGGAAAGACTCTTGTCGAACTCAGTCATTCAGGCTGGTCTGAAGCTCATTGAATTCAATGAGCATCTTTCCATGGACTCTGGTGACTCAAACCCTTGGTCATGGATTCTCACACTATGCCCAATGCACTGGACCTAATATTTCATTAAAGAATAAGGGGAAGGCACAACATTCCCCATACCTGCTTATGCATAAGCTCCCTCCCCACCCGGGCACTGTTAGCAGCATCAGGCATTACTTGGAGATGTTGAGGTGGGTCTCCTGAATGAGGTGGTCCAGTCGTCGGAAGGGACCGAAATCCCAGCTGGGGTTGCTGTTGTAAAGATGCTGTTTCTGATAGACTGGGTAGTGGCTGGAAGCGCGATCTGGGAACAAGCAGGACAGAATCACAACTCTGAGCTCCAGGCTTAGCCTGGATGAAGCCAGGCCACACCGCTTGGGTGACAGGGTTTGTTTTATGCAGCTCCACGCATGTCAGAGCTTCTAACAACAATATGTGGTATAACTTATGAGATCTGAGGGTCTTAACAGTGCTTTACCCTATACAAAAGTCTCAGAATCACCTCCTGTAGTAGGCACTTCTATCCCAATCATACAGATACGAAAACTGAGACTAAATATACTGGCTGAGTCTGGAGTTGAGTCAAGATTATACCAGGAGTCCTAGGCAGACAAAGATATGCAGGCAGGCAGGCAACCCCAGCACAGACTTTAGTAGGCAGTCACAGAAGTGGCTGAGCCTAGGCACGCAAATAGCTTGGACAGACAGGCGTGAATCCAAATGGCAGCACTCACCATGGGGATGGATGCTGAGCTGGAAGAGGATGGTGTCTCCCACATGCATACACACGATGGGGTTTGGGATGTGGGGTAAGTGGTGTGGATCCTTGGCAGGGATGGCCTTGCTATGCCGACCTTTCTGCAAGGGTGTAGCTAGCCCAAATCCTCCTGAGGCTGACAGTGGAGACAGGGAAGAAAAGAGTGAACCCTGCCAACAGGCAGCAAAGGACAAAATCCCCTACCCACTTGGCAATACAGAATTATTTCCCTCACATGGGGCCAATTTCTGCTCTGAATGCAGAACAGGGGTAACTTTACTGCAGGCAGTGGCCAACTGATGCAAGAGGAGCATCATGCCAGCTCATCTATTTGCAAAGGTGCAGGATCTTCCACTTATTCTTTTTCGTGGGCTGGAGTCATGTTATAACCACAAGTGAGTGAATTTCCAGGTGCCCAAGGGGTTTGAATGTGAAGCCAGCTAATATCTCAACTGAACAAAGGCCACAGTCCAGTTTTTTCTGTCAAATGAGGACCCCTCCCTTGCACAGTGTGGAGGGATCGAGTGCAAATTCCCTCTACTACTGATGAGCTGGGAGGAAACCTGCAGCTTGGTCTGACGGGCTCTTTGCTGACTCTTCCCTTCTAGAGAGCTCTTGGGTTTCACCTGTGAGGAATTCATTGAGCTCTTCTGTGCTGGAAATCATGACACCCAATACCCCGCCTGGGCTAAACAGAACAAAATGCACCCGCTGGCTCCTCTGCACGTGCTCATCTGGTCCCAGGATGCCAGTCACTTCCTGTAAAACACAGGAGGACAATGAGCTCTTGGTGATACTCTCAGCCTTGGAAGCTGTCCACTCTCCAGGATTTAGGCCTACCCCTGCCTTTAATTAATCCACCTTGAACACTCCTAGACTTGTCTACCCTGCCCCTGTGCCACACCCAGGACCACTGCCAAGAAGCACACCCTACTCACTTGTCCCTGCCCAATACATGCCTGTTCCCACAACGGAGAGGGCGTAGCTGGCCTAAAGTAGCCCTGGTACCAGCTCCAGTGCTGCTCTCAGATACTCTGCCTCAGGGATGCTCCATGGCAAGTGCTTTGAGGAAGCTGCTGAGGGGCAGGGAGTGGGCAGCATGGCGGCAGCAGGTATGGGCCTGGTGACTCTCTCTCCCAAACCCAGCCACTGCTATTTTGTAATGATTTGCAACCTCCCACCTTCTCAGCATCCTGCTCCATGAACAATATGGAACATCCCCCATGTCCATCTCACATGGTGGATCCCACACATCACATCAACTCCCTGCCTGGAAGCCCAGGAGTCTCTCCACCTCTCCACGCTCTGCAAGCTCTCCCCAGCCTCCCTCCAACCCAGAGAGCAAGTCCTAGCCCTTATACTCACTCTGTCCTCTCCCTCCTCCACACTCAGAAGCAGCTCTCGATTGATGCCAACCCTCAGAGAGATCTGTGGGGCTCTCAGCAGGCACTCCCGGTCACACAGCTCTTCAGCAGAGACGTATTGTTCACAGTGACACCTTGCAAAGGAGAAGAAGGGGCCTGTTCCTTAAGTCTCCTGGCAGGCAGCTGCAAGGTGCTGATGGCCAGACCTGAGACCAGCTCTATTGTTTTATTTATCATCTGTACAGGGAGTAAGCCAACTCTTTAGGAAAGGAATTGGCAAGCTGGATCACATGCAAAGTCCATCCAGTCTAGGGCATCGTTGATGTGACACCCTTCCTGATATTGAAATGATAAACTCATAAGCTGCCACAATGTATCTGTTATATCTGCACCATTCTGTAGTGATACTAATGTAGCAAAACCATTGCAACTTTAACACTGTTTCATTCAGGGTCAAAACTGCGGTGATTTAGCTAACCTGTATCACCACAGGTGCAGGATATGTCATAACAGCTGATGTGCACACCCGGGAGGCAGCTCCTCTTAAGAGGTTGGCAGCAGTTCACAGTCCTATAAACTCTTTGCTCATCTATTGAGTCCACCCGCAGGGACAATGATCATGATATGGACTCTTTTGAAGTTAGGAAATGGACTGAAACCAGCAGCTTATTTCACAAGACACACAAGACCGAACTACTTCCATTCACAGTTAACTGGCCAAAATTCAAGCCCAAACTCTGTTTGAAGTGTTTTCTTAACTAAAAACGTACATGCCCAGCTCTGCGTTGAGTTCTCCACCCACTGGGCCACAGAAAGGAGAGCAGTCATACTGTTCGGGTGAAACACACTGGCGCGTGGATGCCAGACGGACCTCTCCGGGAGCGCAGCGCTCCTCCACCTGCAGCAGCAAAGCCCACAGATTCACGTAAGACAGGGATGAAAACCAGAGGGATACCACTGCTCTGGCATGACCCAGCCCCCCTGCCACTCTGCCCCTGTCCCACCTAGCATTTGAAGGGTAAATCTTAATACATTTTGCGCTGTTAATTGGTCAGAAAACAGACAGAGGAAATGACAACAATATCAATAATGATCTTGTGAGGTCCCTTCCAGCCCTGAAAGTTGATTCCCATCAAATTCCCTTTCCAGGTCTAATTATAAGACATCATAATGACAACACAGTGAATGAGGTCATCAGTTTTGGATACATAGATAGCCCCATTACCAGAGTATGCTGTTGCCTCCCAACCTTCAGTGTGCTTATCCTCATGCTACCTCTGTGAAGTAGGGCAGTGCTGTTATCCCAGTTTTACAGACTTAGAATGGAGGCACAGAAAGACCAAATGATGTGGCCCAAGATCCAGGGGTGGATCAAAGAATTGAACCCAAGCTTTTGCATCCTAATCCACTATTCCAACCACGGGGCTGACTTTCTCCCCCACTCACTTGCCTTCTCACCTGAGTCATTCAGGTTTAATACACTCAAGGGCCTTGCGTTGCAGAAGCATCTTACCTGAGACTGGCAGTCCTGGTCACTGTTGCTGTCAGAACTTTTCTTGCCTCTTTCATCATAGTAAACATACCCTGCCTGGCAGATACAGGAGCCATCTGACTGCTGAAATGCCCGGTTCAGCCCATGGCAGCTACAGCTGGTAGCACCTTAGGAAACAGCAGCAGGAGTAGCCAGCATTAGTGGAAATCAAGGTGACTGGGAACTGTGCAAGTTCCTTTCATATTGCCTGCTCTCCAGCTCCATTCACAGCTACTGCTATATGAGGAAGGGTTGAAGCACTGGAGTCTGGAGAACAGAAGACCAAGGGAAGATTTGGTAACTGTCTGCAGTTACAAGAAAGGGCTGTTGCAAAGATGATGGCAGTCAGTTGCTCCCTGGGTTTGCAAGGGATAGCACATGAAGTAATGGGAATGAATTGCAACCGGGGAGATACTAGGAAGAAGGATCTCATTCTGAATGTGGTTAAGTCCTGGAACAGGTTACCGAGAGAGGGCACACAGCCATCATTGTAGGGAGTTTTCAAGTGCATGCTAGCCAAACCTTATGGGGGATGGTTTAGACAGGGATGGCCAGCCTTGGACAGGGGTGGGTCAAGATGACCTCCTGAGGCTCTTCCCAGTCATATTTGCTATGACTCTAAGTTCCTACAGTAGGTGGGTTTTAACTTGTCCATTGAGCCATCTGGAGCAGGTCAGGGCCTGTCCACTTCACAGCTGGTAACTGCAGGAGTCCCCTGTTTTATTACTCACAACCCGCTAGGGAGGACATGACTGTGAGTGGGATAGTCAGTGTGCACACGGCCACATCACAGGGCAAGGAGTATGCTCCACTTCATGGTGGCCAAGAGCCCAGGGCTTCTCCCACTTTATCAGGGCCCCAACTGGAGTTATTTCAGGTCACCCTGCCCAAGTAACCTCCATCCACTGCACTCACTGCAGATCTGGGCAATGCATCCTGCTGTAACTCCATTAGATTCAGAAGAGTCATATGGCAAGCATAAACAGGGACACTTATCTATTCCTCTCTCCTCCCGGACCTGGCAGGACTGAACTTCTGATGCCTCAGCTAGCCCAGTCTGTGAGGGATCGGGGTGGGTCTGAAAGCTGTGCACTCTGTCTCAGCGGTGGGGCAAAGCCAGGACATGTGGCAGATGCAGAACCACAAATGAGCTGGCCCTTCCATGGATCACAAACTCATTCATAGCAACACAGAGGCCAAGGGGTTGTTGGTGTTTGAAAATCTCAAGGCAGCTCCATGTACAGAAGATGCAACTCACCTGGCTGTGAGGAGGAAGAGCTCCCGCAGGGAAAACACCCTGTCTGAGCATGGAGGTGGTTGAAGGAACCAGCAGGACAGGCATGGCATTCATCAGGGTGCTTTGCAAGGCTGCTGTTCCCGTGCGTCCCAGGGGGGCAGGGCTCAGGGGCATGTGCCATGGGAGGGCAGTAATAGCCTCTGGGGCAGGGCTGCTGGAGGTAATTTGAACTGCCTAGGGGGAAGCAACGGAGGCAAGTCAAAGGTGGCTGTCCCCTCCATTGGTGAAATGGGAAGGACCTAGCTCACTGCATTATGAAGGCAAGCAAGGTGGTTAATTATTTAATTTAGAGTTCTGGATCCGACGGAGCCCAGAGACCTGGATCACCTGTGAGATCCCAGCCCCGTGCACTGCCCAGTCTCAGCAGAATCACCCTGTAACCCGCCCAGGCTCACAGGCTTCTCACACCCCTGAAGCCCCCTGGATTCTCAGTTACCGGGTGGGCAGGTGAAGCCTGCTGGGCAGGGCTGGCAGGATGGGGTGGTGAGGAAGTCACTACGGTAGGTGCCAGCATCACAGAGCCTGCAGCATGTCTCAAAGGAGTCCCTGGGGCCTGTCACGTTGCACGCCATGTATCCTCCTTTGCAGGGAAGCGGATGCACACTCCCGGGGGGGCAGTAATAGGGAAACACACACCTAAAGAGAGACACAGAGGCAGGAGACAGGGTGAATGGGAAAAGTTCTTGGCTAATATTCCCAAGTGCCTTCCTGCTAGGCTGACAGGAAACTCTAGTCTGCAGCAACTTTGGCACCTGTCCGCAAGGAGAGAGCTGCTGCATTTCAGAGGGAGTGACAGCATGCAGAAACAAGTGAAATCTGTTCAGAAAATACACAGAATCCACTGAAATGCACCAGAAGCTCTCTTTTCTTCACTGTGAACAGTGTCTTGTTATCCCAGATCACTATAAGCACAGTCTGCTGTACAGACAGCTGTCAAGAACCCAGAGCTACAAAGCTGGGGATGCTTTGAAGAGACAGGTTCAAAGTCAGCTTGAGCTGTGCCAGCACTGTAACACTGGGCCGAGCTGCTAGCCTGTGCATGGGGAAATCAGCGCCTCAAACCAAATCTGCCAAGCCAGCTTTGAAATCAGCACTCTGGATGTGCTCACACATACTTCACTGCAGTGCATGGCATACATGGGACTCTGCTTTTCCTGTGCCCACAGATACCATTGACACAAGCCCCTCCACAGCTGACAGGCCCCCAGGGTCCACTGCCAAGGATGTAACTAGAAAACTTCATGTTAGCTCAGTGTGAATCTGCTGCACACGTGACGTGGATTTCACTGGCCCAGATTGTGCTCTGTCCTGTCTCCTGCCCCAATTGCAGGCTAATTAACACAAATAAAGAAGCACTCTCATTCGCTCCACCAGCTTCCAAATCTATGGCTGTGATGGAAGACACATCTGCAATGTTTGCCATATTCACAAAGGTTGTGATTGAAACATTTGTCCCAGTTTGGCAGCAAGTGGATTTCACAGTGTCAGAACGTCTCGGAGGCTATTGTCGCCTTCACCAGTCTCCCGTATACTCACAGCTGCTCGGGGGTGTTGTACCTCGAGGATCCTTCAGGACAGTAATACCCACCAGGACACATGGAAGGGAACCCTGTATGAAGCCCACAGTAGAAGCCAGGTCTGCATATGATTGGATTTACTGAACCTGAGGGGACACAAGAACCAGAGACCCAATGAGCCTGGGGACATTTCCACCCTGAGGTTATCTCTGCATGACCCACGTTTCCCAATACCCATTGAAGGCCAATGGAAACCCACTAAAGTAGGCTTGAACACAAACAGGGTTGGGTGCATTTGGATGTTGCAAGGCATCTGCTCTTCACTAGACTCATCTCACTCCACCTGGGGCTTATGCACACTGCAATTGAGGACAGGATTCAAGGGGCAAGATCTAGTTTCAGGGATCTGTGACTACTGCCATGTCCCCCACAATGACCATTGCCCCTGAGGCTCACTGCAGAGCCACCATTGCCAACTCCTGTCAGATCCCACTGGGTGCTGGATGGCATTGCAGGGGTGCTGGCAGACAGCAGAACAAGAAAGAGAGCCAAAGGGAATGAATTCCTCACCAGGTGGGCATTCATAGCCAGGTTCACAAGGTGTTCCTTGGATATTGGGCATCTTTGTCTGGGCTGGGTCTGGGCAATAATATCCAGGAGAGCAGGGGTCACACTCGTCCAAGGAGGCTGCACCAGGCTGGGTCCTGAAGGTGCCAGGTGGGCAAAGGAAAGTGTCTCCTTCCCCTGGGCACCAGTGCCCAGGGGGGCAAGGGTAATCTTCAAAGGTGGTAAGGCCTGTGGAAAAGAGAATGGAAAAAAAGAGAGAGGAGGCAAAGAGGGGTTTAGAGGAATATGCTCCCACTCCCTTGACCATCCATGGCTCGTGAAGCTTTCCTTGGCATCTCCCATGGCCCCCACCCCCTGTCTCCACCCACTCATCCTTTTCCATGCAGGGATTTGACCCTGCATCTGGTTTCAATAGCAGCAACATGGGGCCCTTACCTGGCATGGGACAGCGGTAGCCAGGAGGGCAAGGCTGGCAGTCTGCTAGGCTCTGTGCTCCTAGGCCTGGGTAGTAGGTATGCTCAGGACACTGCTGAGGGACCATGACGCTGCTGGGACCAGTGATGTTCCCCCCAGTGCAGTAGTGTCCAGAAGGGCAGAGGTAGCTCACTGGGTCTCCTAAACACACAGAGAGCATAAGCTTCAGTGGAGGGACCCTCGCCCACCACCCTGACCCTTCTTCCCCTGCCTCTTCCCCAGGCCCTCTCAAACTGGAGCCTCTTCAAACACTCATACACATCCAATCTAGCCACAACCCCAGCATCAGTTTGGGGCACAGGAAGATTAGAGCCTGGGTTTGGCCTTGGGTCCCTCTCCAGATGATAAGGTCCTATTACTATTTAAGGAGGGGGCAATACATTAATAAATAATCCTCCTAGTGTGAATCATGTGGGGATTTGTTCTTTCCTCAGCAATGTCCAGTTGGCTGCAGTGGAGGCAGGATACCTGACTGCCTGGGTCAGCTGGGTGGTCCCTGTGCCCAAAGGTCTAGTCCCCTATGCCCAGTGCCAGCCTGGCTAGACTCAGCAATGTGCCACACATGCGTGGAAAGTGACTCCTGTTCCCCCCCGAGCCTTGACCTGCTTGACACCAGCGGCCTGGGGGGCAAGGCAGGCAGTCTTCTCTTTGGCTGGCCCCTGGGACAGCTCGGATGGTGTTGGGGGGGCATGGTGTGGGCACCTCGGATCCCTCCTGGCAATAGAAACCTAGAGGAGGAAGACAGAAGCTGTTCTGATGGAGAAGGTGACTCAGGGTCTGTCCCAGGATGAGCATCTACAGGGTTGGGGAGGCACCATTCTTATGAAGAGAAGAGCCAAACCAAACCAATCACCAGTACAGTGAACTACCGAACAAGGGGTGAGGGCTTCAGATTCAGGGCTCTTGCTCAGGTCTGCACTGAACTGGAACCCGGAGACCCCTACTCAGTCACTGAGGGCAGCAGGTACCAGGATGAGAAGAATTGGAGGTAGACTTGGGCTAAGCCATAACCTTCAGCCAGGGTCTGAGTGATACCACACCCTGCATTGCTTGGATTTGGGGGTTTGGTCAGTTGATGGAGAAAGGGAAGGAGCCAGTGTGAGGTTGTGAGGAGTGCAGCACTTCTAAAACCAGATATCTGTCGCCAACGGCTTCATGCTGGTGGGCACATACCTGCAGGGCACAGTCCTGCGCACACCTGCCCCCAGGGGCACTCAGCCAGGGAGCTCCATGGGAAGTCGTGGCCTTGGGGAGTTGATTCAAAGCTCCTGGCCTGGCAGAAGTACCCAGCAGCACACTTCCCCTCCAGCCGTCCGCCCCTGGTGTGAAGAGAGCAGAGGGATATGTATATGGGAAACAGAGTAATGCAATGCATGCACACACAAAGTCATGCAGGGGCTCCTGTACACAGTACACCCACGAGACAGAACAACCCAGAGGCTTATACCAGAAAAAGGTGCAAATTGACCAATTCTTTGAATAATAGATGCATGTATTATAAAGATGAGGCAGGGGCTCTCAAGATTCAGTACTGACCCCACCACAGACTCCTTCTGTGACCTCCAGCAATTCATTTCAGATGAAACTGTCAGTGGCTTTCAGAAAATCTTTGGCTCCTAAGTGCCAAAGTCTCTTTTGAAAATGGGCCTTGGGTGCCTGCATTACTGAGAGGTCTCTGCAAGTATGAACATGCCCCCCTGCCTTTGCCTTGGCCTCGTCTGTACAGGGGGGATAATGTTGCTCATTATCCTTTGATATAGGACAGAATACATTTGCTGGACCCCAACACCCTCAGTGCTTGGGAAATTCTGCATCCAAAGCTTATGTGTGGGGCTCCAGTCTGTCAACCTCTTAGAAGACAGAACATAAAACACCGCTAAGGGCAAAGTGACCTTTTTCCCCGCTTGGCTCTGGATCTCAAAGAATCTGCAGCACTTGCAATAACCATTTTTCATTGCTTTTCAACTAGAAAAAATGCAGAAAATGTACCAGCTACTTCCCCAATTTTCCCTGAGAAACCTGAGTATGACGTCTAGCGTGACATAAGTGGTGTAGAGGAGTGGGAGGAGAGGGTGCATTTCTATCCTCCTAGCTTCACAACACAAAACAAAGGAGAGTTTCCACGAGCCTGAAGTTCGGAAATTCAAACCTGAGAAAAGAAAAGATGCTACATGCCATGGAAATCATTGCCACAAGAAGGCACAAAGGCCAGAGTGTTGCAATTCAGAAATGGAGATGACAGGTTCAGATAACCATAACCGGTCCAGCCCTCCCCTGGCCCAAGTCTGCCACCCAGTGCCCTGCACGTGTCCCAAGAAGCTGGAGTCAGCACCCATGCAAGATAGGGTAAGGATTACTTCCTTCTTAGATTATTACACAGAGCCATAAATCAGGCCCTGTGTAAGGGTTTCAGCACCGAGACTATTGTACTTTGGGACTGCTGCACCCACCATTAGCATGCGGCTGTTTCTGAGGTGGAACCCGCAGCTGCCTGACAGCACATAACAACGCTGTGCAACAGTTTAGGGTGGGGAGCAAAAAAATACAACCAAAACGACAGTGCAGCAGGGAGAACTGTGACCTGCAGTAGTGACCAGCCGAGCAGGCCAGGCATTCCCTCTCGTCTTGCAGACCGGTTTTGTTCGGCGGAGTAAATGTGCCATCAGGGCATGGATAAGGAACCAGGGTGCCTAAAATGGAAATGTGAGAGGTGATATAAAGGCAGAGGGTCATGGAAAGGCAATGGTGTTTTTCAGCACAAGGTGCTTCTCTCATGCAGCAGGCTGGTTACACTCAGTGATGATACAGGTTGGATGTGGAGCTCCTGTACCTACCATGTAACCAGATGAGCACAGCCAGGGGGACGCACCCACCAGGTCATTACTTATACGGGGTAATTATCCACCTGCTCCAGGCTGAGCAGTCTGAGCAATGCAAAGGGGGAGAGGCCTTACTCTTCCCTGCCTTGCTGAGTGTGCTGTGACCTTGGAGAGTGTTACATCCAAATCACACAGATGTAATGACTCCCTAAGATGCAATTCAGAAGCAGTCAGGCCCTTTCTTGCTGCATCACTCTTAATTCTTTAGTAAGGTGTATATGGGGTTTACTCCAGCCCTTGCTTGTGGTGAGATCCCCAAATGTACGGTCAAGGTTAAGACACTCACATGCCAGGGAGTGGAGGGGTAAAGAGGGAAGTAGCAGCAGGGTGATGGGCAAGGGCATGTACTGACACATCCTATCCAGGGCAGCCAAAGGGACAGTGGGGGCCTGCATATGCTGGTGTGTTGGGGGCAGGGGGCATCCTGTACATACCTGCTGGACAGTAGGTGTGTGATGGGCAGTGTTTGGGGTCTCCTGAGACCGTCTCCTGGCAGTAGAAGCCCGGCTGGCAGGGGATGCAGGACTCTGACCCCCTATTTGGCTGGTACTCCCCGGTGGAGCATGGGGTAGGGTAGGCAGCCCCTGAAGTACAGAAGTGACCCTAGGAATCAGACAGAGAGGGAAGAGAAATGAACAGAAACCCAGGTAAAGTCAGGTCTGTTTGCAGGGCCAGCCCCCAAGGAACAAAAGCCTGTGGCAAAGTCCTGTGGATAGGACTAAAGCCACGGCCTGTGAAGCTTCTCTCCAAATGTTAGGCTGACACTGTTAGACTGAAGGTTAGCTAGCCCAGCTGTCACCAGCAGGGACCCAGCCCCTCCTCATCCCAGTGACAGGCAAGTACCTTCAGGCAGAGGAAGGCAGTGGGGCTGAAGGAGCTGAAGTTGGCTGGGCAGTAAAACCCGGCAGCACAAGGTCCCGTGGGTGAGCTCAGACCGACGCTAGCGCAGAAGAAGCCAGGATAGCACGGCACACAGCTGTCCTGGGAGGAGCCGCCTGGGGGAAAGGCAGAGGCACAAAGGGATGGGAGGAAGCACTCATCTGAGCTGCAGTGACATCAGTGTTGCATTTGCAATAATAATAGCTATTGCAATTGCTTGCAACTGCCACCCTTCGGCTGGAACTGGATCTGCTCTGCCATGTGTCACAGGCACTTTATCGCTGCCGATTCAGAGAGAATCATCCTTAAATGCAAGCGGCAGGTGGCAGCCAGCTTTCAGGGGTATCCTTGCTGTTGCCATAGGGCTCTCCACAGCCACAGCACTCTGCACTGTGACTGCTGTAACATGTCCAGATAACTACAGATGAGTTGTAACCCACTTCGCAAGAATAAAACTATCGAGCCTGCCCCTTCCCCAGGGGAAGAGGTGTTTTTTTCCCATTTTACAGACAGAGGAAGTGAGGCACAAAGCGGGGCAGAAACCTGGCAGGACAGGACAGCAAGTCTGCAGAAGTCCACTCTGTCATTCTGCTCATCTCTAGGTACTGCTCATGTCCGGGGAAGAGGCTGTGGGGAGGGCAGGGTGATGCTGATAATGAGCTCTGCAGAAACCCATGAGGGAAAGCAGGAGAAGCCCTGAGCTGCACTTACCTGTGGAGTTATTTAGGGTGCCCACTGGGCAGGCGACAGGGAAGAGAGTGCCCTCTGGACAGTAGTGCCCAAGGGGGCAGGGCCCATTGAGCGGGAACCCAGGGGTCCTGCGTGGGACAGCGTCAGCAGCCCCTCCTGCGCAGTAATATCCAGCTGAACACAACCCTGCCATCGGAGAAGAGAGGGCTGCTCAGGGACCTGCCCATGGCTCTTAGCTGGGTGAGGCCAAGGAAAGCACCTACTCCCAGTCCCACAACACGGGGGCAGCTCAGTCATGGATGAAAGTGGCTCTAGTTTCCACCAGCAGCACACCTCTGTCTCCCACCCCTCTGCCCTGGGCCATTCTCCTCTGGACTCACTCACCCCAGCCTCAACATCCACCCCCATCACTCATCCTGACCCCCTACCCTGCAGGCCCTCCCATCCTCTCCTTCCCAGGTCCCCTGTCCTCTGGAAAGGGCTCAGTCTCTCCTGTTTTTCCTCAGAGTATTAACATCTGCCTCTAGATCTCAACACCTTTCCTCTGTGCTTGACAGACAGCAACAGAGGACAAAGATTGAGTGAAAGAGGGGTGGGGACTAGACAGCAAGGAAAGATGGGAGACAAGAAAAGCTCTGGGAGGAGACCTAGAAGAATGAAGGAGCCAAAGCTCTTTGCACAAGTTGGATTGCAAGAATGAAAGCAGGAGAGATGGAGGTAATAAGAGCCTCAGAAAAAGGGTACCTTCAACACCCTGCCTCTGATCTCTCCAGTATCTGCCCCACTGAACTCAGAAAACCCCACTCCATCTAATCCAGACAAGCACTCAGAGCTCTTTAGCCCTGGTTCTAGCAGGTCAACTTACCATCCGGCTCCCAGTTCGCGTGGCCCCGACAGTACCTCCCCACCGGGCATGGCTTGCATGCTGCAGGGGACAGTGCCCCCTCCAAGGTGTTCAGGGTGCCCTCAGGGCATGGCAGGGGCATGGCGGTCTGAGATGGACAATAGTAACCTGCAAATACAAAGAGGGGATGCTGGTCCCTGGACAAAGCAAATAGCAGAGCTCTTGGTGACTTCAGTGGGGCTGCAATTCCACCCCACTGCGGTGCCTGACGGGGGGATGTACAGAGATCTGTGTGCTGGCAGACTCCTCAGAGCCTGCACCTTCTTGTCTTGGGTTAAGGACGCTGCTGTACAGCAGATGCCTTACCTTGGGGGCAGCTGAGTGGCTCTACAGTGGCAGCATGTCTGCAAGTCACACCAGCGGGGCACGGGAGGCATACGCTTGCTCCAGGCATTGGGCTGAACATGCCAGGCTCACAGGGTATCTCCAGTCCGGTCCCAGTAGGACAGTAGAAGCCACTTGGGCATCTGTACCCATGAAGACCATTAGAGGGGCAGGGGCCAGAGCTGCCTTCAAGACAAACGTACCTGTAAGAAGTAAGGAGGAGGAATTCAAAGAATTCACACTTGATTTAATGGCCCCAGAAAAGGGCATCAGTTCCAATCACTGGGCACCCGGGCATCCTTGTTCAGTGATGTCCAATAAAATAAATGGACTGCAGACAACTTGTACAGCCACCAACACTACCATCATCCCATCCCATCTCTGCCCAAACCAGGGAGACCAACTGGTTCTTGTGGCTAACCCTGAAGGACAGCAAAGTGCTACAGAAATCTGAGGGTCCCAAGACACTGTCATAAAATCATAGACAATGAGGGTTGGAGGGGACCTCAGGAGGTCACCTCTAATCCCCCCTCCTGCTCAAAGGAGGACCAGCCCCAACTACATCATCCCAGCTGAGGCTTTGCCTAGCAAGGTCTTAAACACCTCCATGGATGAATCCACAACCTCTCTGGGTAACCTATTCCAGTGCTTTTTACCACCTTCCTGGTGAGAAAGTTCTTCCTAATATCTAACGTCATCTTCCCTTGCTGCAACTTGAGACCATTGTTCCTTGTAATGTGTAAGACCATTGCTCCTGTGAGCAGTATCCTCTCTTCCAAGTGGCAGTGTCTCCTTGTGAGATGGGCTGCCAGAGGCAGGGAGATCCTGACCCATTGTTTGCATGTCCAAAGCAAGAGAGGACATCAACTAGCTCCAGGAAGTACAAGCCTTTGGGTAAATGATCCATTGTCCATATCTCATCAAGACGCCCTCTTCTGATGGACATCACTGACGATGACACAACTATCCAAACTACATACTTCCTGTTTACCTGCATCTCTCCACTGCCCCAATCTTCCCAATGTAACCAAAACTGAATAACATATACAGAAGCATTAAAATTGTTCTGTTCAGCCAATCTACATGGCATGTGAAGAGGGGACTTGTAAAATGTCTACAGGGAATCAAAGGGTGATGTCTCCAAGGAGAAGAAACAGGAAGGGTGACCTATGGGCAAATTCCCAGAAGCACGAGGAACAGTGTTAAGCAAACGAAGCTTTAATTTGCATGTTGGCAGTCACTCCCTCACAGGGCCGTCAAGCAGACTGTGCAGCTGACCCACAAAGGGAAAGAGGGGATGCCCCATTACTTGGGATGAGTAAAAGCAAAGTGGGCAAAGCACAAGGAATATCCTGTTAGGAGGATCCTGCAAGGGCATGGGATTTACAGATTTTAAAACATGCGAGGGCTTAATACGCGTGATGGTGAGGTGACACTGGGGTGTTGTAATTAGCATGCGGAGCAGACTGAATTAATTAATCCTGCAGTTTCCTTGTCATGGGTTATTGCACCATCTAGTGGGAAATGTGTTTAATGCAGGAGAGAAAAAAATGAAAAAAATATTCCATGTTGACATCACAGCAGGTGAGATCAGGAGTTTAAAGCAAACTCAGTTTTGTGATAAGGTGGCTGGGGAGTAGGGTGTGACTGATGGCCCTGGGCCCTGAAGGCTTCTCTGCCCACTGTAGAAGACAGTGGGCAAGTGAATTAATGCCTCATTCCTCTCCTCAAGGGACTGGCTCCTGCAGGGGTGAGAATAATATGGTCTGTGGCTTAGTTAATCCTTGGACATCTGTTCTGGGATTGTCAACAAGAGGCCCAGGCCTGAAAATCAGTGGCCCTGCTATCCGGCTGTCCTGCAAGTCATTCAATCATTTCAGCCAGTGCAAAGATACCGGTACCTACTGAATCAGAAAGGCTGCACTTTACACCAGCTGGCACAGGTGAGTGCACACAGTGCAGGGCAGCAGAGATCCAGGCCCTAACTCAGCTGCTGTTGGAGCCCATTGCCCAGCACAGCTGGACCGAGACCAAATGAGTGATGTTAACGTTATCTGGGATCATGCTGGGCTGGATTCCAAGTGACCCAGGAAGGGGATATCCTGTTACTAAGCTCCTGGGATAACCTGTGCCCCTATTTCTCAATGACAAATTGCTACAGCTGCTCCCTGCTCCGTCTGTAGGAGAACGGTGGGTCTGGATTTGTCAGCATTAAACATAAGTGACCACATCTCCTTACCCTGCACTACACAGCGATGCCTGGGACAGATCGGACAGGCCTGCCCGACTGCAGTACCGCCCCGCTGGACAGAGCTGACACTGATCCTCTGCCGCCAGGCCCAGCGAAGAGGAGTAGGATCCAGGAGGGCAGGGAATGGGATAGCTGGTACCATTGGGACAGAAATGCCCAGGAGGGCAGATGTCATTTCCAGGAGGAGAAAGGCCAGCAGACTCAACCTGGGGGAGAAAAAAGCAACCACAGTGAGATGCAGGAAGCATGATCGGCTGCAGAAAGAACCACGGGGAAGCATGAATTTGAGTTCATGCTCAAATTCATGGGTGTAGGTGAGCTACACCCATGAATGGTGAGCCTGCTCACCATGCAGGCTGTAGGTGAGCTCCCTACTGGGCCACTTGTTAGAGACCTGAGCTGGCTTGAAAAGGGCCCCTGACACATTGGCTGGTTTGTCATGGTTAAGCACATCTATGCCAGGAATTAGCCACCCCTGTGAGGGGCTCCAGGCAGCACAGCCCCTGTGTGACATGCAGAGAGGAGGACTGGGCAGGGATTCCTACAACATCACATTCCAGCACCATGCTGCCATCCACTCCTCTCAATAGATAATCTCCGGTCTTCACCCAGAAGCTGCAACTGGGCAGTGGTCTGAAGGTGTGATCCCAACCACTGCAGGATTACTGGAATATCTAGAAGGTATGGTACTACTATAGTATTACTATGGTACTATGGTACTACTATGGAATATCTAGAAGGTGCTGCTCTATGGTACTACAGCACCGTCATTGCTAGGAGAGAGGCCCTTACTCCTCGGTCCCAGCCTAAGGTTACTGGTGCAATGGACAACCCAGTCCCTCTGGGATTCACTCACCCGGTGTCTGATGGGGGCTGGGGTGATGGCTCCCTTGGTGCAATAATAGCCCGAATGGCAAAACCCAGATGGCTGGGTCAAACCTGGAGCTGAGCAATACATGCCTGAAATGAGAAGAAAGGAAGTCCGCGGTGAGAGGGTCTCTATGTCTCCTTTATGCCCTTGCTGTGAATGTTGGTGGAGACTCTGCTTGCTGCAAATGCTGGTGGAGACTGAAGTCAGTACTTTCCCCTCAGGCCTTCACTCAATTCCCCACCAGTGCCTTGTGGCAAACCCTTTCTTACCTGCGGGGCAGGGCTCACAGTCAGATTCATGAGCGGCACCCGGCTTTGGTCCAAAGGTGCCCCTTGGACACGGGTGTTCTGTACTGAAGCTGGTGCCCGGTGGACAGAAGTACCCCACAGGGCATGGCCTGGGCAGCTGCACCCCCGAACCTGGAAGACACAAAACACAAACCCACTCAGGTGCCTTCAAGACTATCTCCCCAGGAATGAGGAGTGTGCTATGCATTGCCCTTAGTCTTCTGATCTATGCATTAGCCCCTGCTTTCTTCTGCGGGCTCAGCTGGACACAAGATCACCCTACAGGAGACAGAATATGCCTTATTGAATCCAACAGACTACTCTTGGCCGCATCTTCCCTCAGTGACACAGACTGACAGCAAAAACACACGCACAGCCCTCCACAACCTCCTCACTTTTGTTGGATGGTTCACAGAAGAGTCCTGCTGGGCAGAGATCACACGAGTCTTTCCCTTCCTGGGGCTGGTAGGTTCCCCTCTCACACGGCACGGGCATGGCAGATCCTGCAGGGCAGTAGTAGTCTTGGGGGCAGCGGTAGGATGCGGGAATGGCTGAGGTCTGGCCTGGTGGGCAGTAGAAACCAGCAGAGCACGGTCCTTCTGGAGCAGGTCTTCCAAACCCTGCAGTCATTGAGGAAGAAGAACCTTTCCATCTCCTTCCCCAAGTCAAAGGCAGGAGGATCCCTCTATTCCCGCACACAACATGGCCTCATTGCATACTGAGTTCAAATCAAGAAGCAACTACTCTTGATAGCATGGATCCAACCTCAGAAACATGGATGCTTTGGGATGCATCACTCAGGAAAGCATTGATATGCAATGCCTGGCATGGGGAAGCTTGGGCTTCTACCTGAAGTGCCCAGCTGGAGCTGTCTGATCACTTTTTGCGGTAAAGAGACAATTCTGTGCTGGCCAAACAAGATGAGCTATGCAATCAAATGCAAGAATCTTCATCCATTCATAAGAGTTATGAATGCAGTATGCTCTTAACAACTTTACAGGAAACAAAGCTGGGAAGGACACTGGCTCCCATGTGTCCACCCTCATGAACCCCAACCCAGAGAGAGGGAGACTCATACCGCTGCAAAAGTGTCCAGCAGGACAGAGCTGGCAGTCTGTGGGATGCCATCTCCCAGCATGGGGGTTGAGACTTCCAGAGTCACAGGGGACTGGCAACTCCGAGCCTTTGGGGCAGTAGAAGCCAGTGGGGCAGAGTTCCTGGTCAGGTCTTGTGGATCCCAGAGGGCAGTAATACCCAGCATGACAGATTCCTGCAAAGCAGAAGATTTCAGTACCCAGACTAAGGAACTGAGGAACCTCCAAACATTCATATAACCGGTATGGAAAAATATGCAGGGGTTTAGTGGCTTTCTGGTTCAGATTACTTCAGTCTAGGAATCCAGCTGCTTGATTCCCAGGGACACGAGAGGTTGCTCTCTCTTTTTGCTTTGAGTCTGTCCAGCTATAGTTCAGTGTGTCTGTACTTATTTAAGCCAAACTGGAGTTTCGCTCCAGGACCAAAGCAGGAGAGAACTCGGGATTTGACATTGGGGCCTGCCTAGCATCTTAAGATCCTGCAAATCATAAAGGGTAAGATCCATCCCTGACTATGACCTACCGAGAGGTGATACCCTGGAATAAAAAGAGCAACATTGTCTTGCACTCATTCTCATGTGCATGCAAGTGTACAGAGCTCACCTGAAACATCGGCCACCCCTTCTCCCTGGCAGAACTTCCCCCCCAGGCAGGGCAGACAGGCGTTACGAGATGCCATCCCGGTTTGGGGTAGAAAAGTGCCTGTGGGGCACAGCACTGGGCTGCTGCTACCCAGTGGGCAGAAGTGTCCTGCCGGGCACAGGTCTCCGGTTTCATCGTGCATGGGATTGGGTATATGTGCTTTCGAAGTGCAGTAGTGTCCAGGGGAACATGGACCACTCGGAGCTGAGAGGCCTAGTGAGGAAGAGAAGAAAAGTGAACCAGGGGCATTAGGCATCATACGAATGCAAGGTACGTCTAGAAATCCTGGCTCGAACGAGCTCATCAGGTGATCAGTCCCTAAGGAAATATATCACATGGAGGCTTCTCTCTCACAGTCTTCATTCCTCCAAGTTTGACTCTCCAAGACAAAACACAGCATCCTCCCAGCCTGAGCAGTGACTCTACTCCGCACCTGTCCGTCCTTACCTGCATTTGCACAGAATTTTCCTGCAGGACAAGGCTGGCATTCATGGGAGCTCTGCAGCCCCGTCTGGTTACTGAAGGTGCCCTCAGGGCAGGGGTACTGCCTGGCAGCTTTTGTTCCTGAGGGGCAGTAGTACCCAGCTGGGCAGTCCACTGGTTTGGCGAGTCCATGAGAAGAGGTGTCTTTGTGGTTTTGTGTCTGGTCTTTGTGGCTGCAGAACCTAAAAAGAAAAGGCAAAGTCTGGCATTAACCTGTCACACCCCAGGCCAAAAGGAGGTCCATTTGCCAGGTAACCAATAACCATGGTAGTTTGCAACTGCAAGAAAAGAGAATATAGATTGTCCCTCCAGAAACAAGTGGAAAGGTGGAAAGCAGCCTGTTGGGTCAGTGAAGTTACCTGTGGGATCATTTTGTTCCTCCCTGGAGATTATATCAAAGCAAGGATAACTGTAGTGAAGGAGAAACAATCCAGAAATTGGGATAATAGTGGGATGGTGGTAGGAGGAGAGGAGCAAGGAAACTACCAGGAGCCCAAGGCAAAAGAGGGAGGACTCGCATGCTAATTCCCAAGAGAAGCATCAGGAGAGAAAGCAGATGAATTCCACTCACTTTCCTGCTGGACATGTTTTGCACTGGCTTTGACCAGTCTGGTCCTGGTATTTTCCAGCAGGGCAGGGTTTGGGCTCTGGGCTGCCTGCGGGGCAGTAGTGGCCTGCAGGACACACATGATCTAGGAGGAAGAAAGAAGTCCGTGTGTCTGTGCCCAAGCCCTGAGAGCTTCTGTATCAACCTAGCACTTTAACCACAGGATCCATCCTTCTCTCTCCTTTTCTTCCCCAGGTACACCACAGTGATCCTGATAAGTTCATTGAGGACTCTATCTCTCTCATACAGCTTGGAGGAAGCTGAAAGAGGATGGCAGGTTCGGCTCAGCCAGTCTGAACGCTGGGATGTAGCCATGATCAGAAAATATCATTAAAAAGAAAATGACACGAACTGGGTTTTTTTTGTCAAAATGGAAAGCTCTGTACGAAATATCTAGTTTCAATTACACTTATTTTGCAGTAACAGACACCCAAAACATGTTTGATTTTCAAGGGGTGGGATTTTTTTTTTTTTGGTTTCTTTCTCTTTTTTTTTTTTGGACAAAGGCTAAATGTTTTGAAGAAACTTTTCAACCTTTCTTCAATTCTGACGGGTTTTTTTGTGGGGAAAAAGGGCACTTCCCACCCAAATTTAGAGATTTCCCTAATCCTCGGCCAGACCGGCCAAAGCTCCAAGGTCCTTGAAACTGGGTGGAAAATTGCTAAGGGATAGGCAATGAAAGTACCAGAGCCTCTTCTCAGGGTGTTTTGGCAGGTGTTACCTGGATGCAGCTAAAATGCTGGTATCTGTTAAAAATATTATGGGTTACTCAGAGGAAAAAGACCCAGGAAGCTCTTAGGTATTTGATCTACATGCTCTTTCCATCTTGACACATAATATGAGCCTCTTGGCTGCAAAGCCAGAAGACTGTATGTGGGTGGCAACTTTAGAGCATCTCTCCTCCTGCTGCTTTTGGATCATCCCGTAGAAAACAAACCGTTTGAGGACTTTCCTACCTGGACTCCGGCCTGACACAGACCCCAGTGGGCAAAACCATCCTTCCTTACACAATCCCTCTGGTGAGCTTTGACCTCGGAGAGAGCAGAACCAGCCTGCCAAACAGAGCTGGCAATCTTGGGCTGACTGGCCACCACGTTGCGCCAAAAAAGAGCCTTCAGGAGACAAAAAAGAAAAGAAAAATGTAGTATTTTCCCAGCATCCTGTGGGGAAAAGCACAGGCCAACTACAGAAAAAGCCCTGAGCTGCACTACTCCCAGCCTCATCCCTCAGGAGGTGCTGGAGGGGATGCCGAGGGGGTACAGGGTAGGCAGGAACAGAGTGTGCAGTCCCCGGCTCTCCCAGCACAAAAGCCTGCGAGGGCCAGTGGCAGGGGGAAAGCTTGTGGCTACGGCAAGCCCAGCCTTTTCTACAGCAAGATGCTGCAGAAGTTGGGGGATGGATGCTTGCTGAGGAGGAGCTCTTCTTTATTCTGGTCCTACCTATGCAGGAGAAACGCAGGCTTAAAAACACCCCTGGGCCCAAATCAGTAAAATAAACAACCCAGAAAACCTCTCTCAGTGGAGCCCTAACTCTCTTCTCAATTCAAGCACAAAAGGCCAGGTCTCTGTTCCCGGGGAGGGAGCAGAGGCTTTGAAATGTGTGCAGCTGACTGCTGCTTCATGCCCTTTTCCCCCAGTGCCTCCCCTCCACCTCCCCGATCAGCCTGGCGGTATCTAGGCCACAGGACGAGGCCACAATGCCAGCGCTGCAGTTACTGCTCCTCCCACAGCGGCGCCAGCCTGGAAGTGACGGCTTTGTGCTCACAGACGTTGCTTCTCGGGCACTGCCTGGGCAGGCTTCAGCACCGCACAGGCAAGCCCTGCAGAACAACAGTCTCAGGCAAATCACACAGCACTGAGCAGAGCAAAGAAGGATGCCAGGCACCAGCTGTCAGACTTACCTGGGGGACATGGAGAGGGAGATGAACTCCCCTGAGGACAGAAGTGGCCTCGAGGACAAATGTTGCCCACCGCTCCATCCGTGGGGTTGGGCAGCGTGGAGCCCCCTGTGCAGTACAAGCCAGCATCGCAGGGACCAGAGGGAGCAGCCAGCTCGGGAGAGGCACAGTACCACCCTGCAGCAAGGAGCAGAAGGGACACCCTCGTTCGGCACTCATGTCCCTCTGGCTACACGGCAGCACGACTGCCACAGAGCACTGGAGATACAGTACTGTCACAGCCCAGAGCCCGTGGAAGCTATGGTCAACAGGAGATGGTGGTGGTCTAGCGGTCAGAGCACAGGACTGGGACAGTCAAAGGGATCTGGAAAAGAGAAAAACCAAGACCTCGCTCTCCCCTACCTGGAGTGCAGGGAACAGGGATGGCTGACCCCCCCGGACAAAATGTTCCAGCTTGGCACAGCCCGAGAGATCCAGAAGCTGCAGCACCTGCCCCTGCTAATACAAGGGACAGACACTCAGGGAGCAGCTGAGGAATATGGGACAACCATCAGAGTCCAGCTGCCACATCCCAGCCTCTCCAGCCACTTAGGGCACGTGGTGTTCAGCACCTGAGGATGACAGCACCCACCCCAAAGGACCTGCCCAGCCTCTTCCCACCCATCCTGCCATGGGGGAAGTGACCTCTCAATGGCAGGCCTTGATTGCAGCCAGGTCCCTATGATACCTAGGGTAATAATACTGCTTTTAATGATCATCAGCACAACCCCCTGCTCCCCTCAGTACCAGGGAAACTTCCTGGGAATACTGGCTTGGTTGATGTGGATCCAGGTGGGCAAAACCATCCAGGCATACACAGTGCATCTGGACTCGTCAAGCCCGGCTTGGAGCAGACCTTTCCAGGGGGGCACAGCTGGCACTTGGAGGCATCCCAGATGTTGAAGGCATCACTGTAGGTTCCCCGTGGACAAGGGAACTGTGTGCCAAACTCTGTATTCTTTGGACAGTAATGTCCTACAAGGGAAAAGAGAGCCATCCTAAAGGTTGAGAGAGGCTTATGAAGATCCCCTTCACATTTTTAGCCGGGGCATAAAGATCCCATCTGCCGCTTTCCCCAAAAAGCCAGATTCCAGGATTTACAGCCCAGTCCATGGAGTGATTTCCAATACGGCAGACCCTCCAGCCAGGCTGGATGCATTCAGAGACACTGCTTGCTCTTTACCTTAGTGCTGACTAGCAGGATGGTACCTGGCTCTTAGACAGAACTTTTCACTCATAGATCTCAAAGTGCTGTAACATCATCACTCCTATTTTAAAGGGAGGAAACTGAGGCACAGAGAGACAAAGCAACAGGGTGAAGATCACCCCGCCTGTCACTGCCAG